ATTTTGTAGAATTTTATTAATAAAATTTTACAAAATCTTATGTTTCTCAAAACTTTATTAATTGATTCTAACTTTATACACTAATTAAATTTGTTTAGCACCTAAAAATACATTAAACTAGTAGAGTTATTTTTATTATACTTAAAATTTGGAGTGAAGATGCTTAATTTTGAATTTTTTTGATCAAAAATCCAAAATTAAGCATCTTCGCTCCAAATTTTAAGTATAATAAAAATAACTCTACTAGCTTAACGTATTTTTAGGTGCTGAACAAATTTTGTTAGTGCATAAAGTTAGAATTAATTAGTAAAGTTTTGATAATCATAAGATTTTGTAGAATTTTATTAATAAAATTCTACAAAATCTTATGTATCACAAAAATTTACTAATTAATTCTAACTTTATACACTATTTAAATTTGTTCATCACCTAAAAATACATATAAATATATTCGAACTCAGACTAGTCTGCAGACTTCGGACCAGACCCGGACCAAACTCAGACTTAACTAAAAAGTCTGAATATAAAAGTCTGAGTCTGGTCTGAAAATCAGACCAGACTCATACTTGACTAAAGTCTGGTTTGAGTCTGGTCTGTAGAAGCACTACTAATTATTGTGTAAACTATAGTGTAAGATTCTCAAGAAGTGTAAGCAATTTTCTTTATTTTTTTGTTGTTTCTTTATTTTATTAATCTTACAAGTTACTTTTTATTACATTTAGAAAAGGGCAACTTTTATACAGTTTGATTATAATACATGTATAATCCCAAGTAAGTAAATAAGTTAGTTGTGCAAAGCTAATTAATGCATTGTGATCTTAGTAATCTTATTTCCTAGGCATTTATATAACTTATAAGGGGTCATTTAATAAATATAATAATATGATAGTTATGCTAATAAATAATATAGTATGATCATTACGCTAATAAATAATAATCATTATATTAGTATAAATAACAGAGGCTGCAGTTAGATAAATTATAAAATAACAATCTAAGAGTTGCATGTATTAACCCCGGCTTGTCCCTGTGACAAGTTCGTTAAACGTCTACTTATCATTGTACGTGCGGGCTTGTGCTATATATAAAAAAAGTAATTAGTGGCATGTGTTACTGTATTACATTCTTCCCTTCTTAAAATCAACACCCATATTGATTTTTAAACTCTCTAATTTTTCCAGATATGTTTTGTAGATGTTCCAGGGGTTCTTATGTTGCATCATGTAACGGATAACCAAGCCACTTGACTAAGTAATACACCTTCTTATTTACTACTTTTTGATCTAAGATTGATTCAACTTCATATTCATTCTGTTAAGTTTTAGGTATGAAAATTGCAGGTAGGGGCATTGATCTATTGAAGTCTTTTGATTCTTTGTATGGTTTTAACAGAGAGATATGGAATACAGGGTGAATTTTCTATTTACTAGGTAAATTTAATTTGTAGGCTACTTTTGAGATTACTTCAACGACTGAATATAGTTCTATATACTTAGGTGTAAGCTTCCTAATTGGTCTTTGTCTGTTAATTGGGTTGTTAATAGTTTTGGTTGACAAGAGTACTTTATCTCTTATTTATACTCTAGATGTTGACGGTGCTTGTTGGTGTAGTGGGCTTGTCTTTGTTAAGCTAAGGTTAAAGCGTCTTTTGCTGTTTTAATCATATTTTCCCAATGTTTGATGAAGTCATCGGTTGCTGGTATATTGGTTGAGGCCTTTGCAGCTAGTGTGGTTGGTGTGTTGGGATGTTGTCCTACGTCTAGTTCAAAAGGAGTGAACCTAGTTGATGCATGTTTAGAATTATTGTAGGCAAATTCAGCAGCTGGTAATTATTTGTTCCATTGATCTTGTTTATATGTTGCGTATATTTTTAACATCTCTTCTAACATTCTATTTATTCTTTTAGTCAGTCCATATGTTTGTGCGTGGAATGCTATAGACATATCTAGCTTAGTGCCTAGTTGGGTAAAGAGCAACTGCCAGAATTTACTGGTGAACTTCAGGTCTTTATCTGATATAATTGCTTTTGGCAACCCATAATTTTTGAAGATTATAGAAAAGAAAATTTTAGTGACTTCGGAAGCTGTAACTGTGGTGTGAGTTGGGCAAAAGTGGGCTTGTTTTGTTAACCTGTCGACAAACACTACAATGGCATCATATCCTTTTTTTGTTAATGGCAATTGAACTATAAAATCTATTATAACTTGTTTCTACCTTTTCTTGGAGTATCAAGAGATTGTAAGAGTCAGTAGGTTGTTAATTACTACTTTTATTTCATTAACATTAATTACAACTTCCTATATACTTCTTAACATCTTTATAAAGTTTTGGCCAAAAAAAATTTCGGCTTATTAACTCATATGTCTTATCTATTTCTAGATGCTCTACTGTGCTAACATGTGGTGTTTCTGGAGTAACTGTATCTTTAGTTCTTTATTCTAGGGAACCGCCATTCTTACTCCTTCTTTTAAATAAATTTTTCTATCATTTAGTTCGTAGTGCTTAAGCTTGCTTGTTGTTTAGGATCACTAACTATATCTCCTCTCAAAATTTTAAAGATAGAAGAGAAATAAAGATCTTTTAGGTATTCTTGTACAAGGAAATCTATATCAATTAGCTGTGTTGCAATAGTAGTGATGTTATTTAAGTATGTTCGTCATAATAGAGCATCAGCAACAACATTTATTTTGTCTGGCCTGTATTTAACATCAAAATCCATTGATTGTAACAATTCTAACCATCTAGCTTGCTATCATGAGAGGTGCACTTGTGACTTGATATATTTAAGGGAGGCATGGTCGGTAATTATTGTAAATTTTTGTCCTTCTATGTAAGGTCGCCAGAGTTTAATTGTATGAACAATAGCTTACAATTCTTTCTCATATGTAAAGTAATTTAGCTCGGCTATTGATAGTTTCCTAGATTTATAGACAATGGGTTGGTCACTGTTATCATGATTTTGACTAAGAACAGCACTGATGGCATAGTTAGAGGTATCTGTGCTAATAGAAAAAGGTTTAGTAGGGTCAGGAAGAATAAAAACAGGGGCAGATATAAGTTGATGTTTTAAAGTTTTAAAAGCTGTTTTCTCTGTTTGTTCTTATTTGAAGGGTTGGTCCTTATGAAGTAGTTGTGTTAGGGGTGCAGCAATAGCTGAGAACCCTTTCACAAATTTTCTATAGTAATTCGCGAAACTAAGGAACGAACAAACTTTGGATATGTTAGTAGAAATTGGCCAATTCTTTATAGCAATGACCTTTTTATCATCAACAGAAAGTCTGTCTGCTGATATATAGTGGCCAAGGTATTCAACTTTTTTCTTGAAAAATTCGCATTTACTAATTTTTGCATATAGTTTATGCTCTCTTAAGATTTTCAGAGCTTTTCATAAGTGATATATATGGTCTTGCTTTGTCTTACTATAGATAAGTATGTCATCAAGGTAGATGATTATGAATTTATCAAGATGCTCTCTAAAGATTTCATTTATGAGTGTTATAAAAGTTGCAGATGCATTGGTGAGGCCAAAAGGTAATACGAGAAACTCATAATGGCTATAATGAATACAAAAGGCTGTTTTGTGAATATCTTCTTTTTTGATTCGAATCTGTTGGTACTCTGAGTATAGACTAATTTTTGAGAAGTATTTAGCATTGACCAACCTATCTAACAATTCATCAATATGGGAAAGTGGGTATCGATTTTTAATGGTGACTTTGTTAAGAACACAATAATCTACACAAAGTCTTAGGGTTCCTTCTTTTTTATATACAAAAATAACAGTGCGCCAAAAGGAGATGTGCTGGATTGGATAAATTTTTTTTTTAATAAGTCTATTAACTAGCATTTTAACTCATCCATTTCACCTTAGAACATTCTGTATATAGGCCGAAATGGTAGTTCTGATCTGGGGATAAGGTCTATATAATGGTCAACCTTCCATTCTGGGGGTAATTAGTTTGGTAGTGTCTCAGGAAATACATCAGCAAAGTCTTGGAGAACCTTTTGAACTTTTGGGACGTAGGAGCTAGTATTGTCATCATATTTTGCTATAACATATACAGCGAATATTTCCTCATTGCCAGATGTTTTGGCTAACTGTTGCCTAAATATGAATACTGAATTGCAGCTATGTTCCTTATATGTGTTCCAGGGGTCTGTTTGAACTTTAATTGTTTTAGATCTATACTAGAAGACCAAGGTATTCTTTCTCCAATTGATGTTGGAGTTAGTGTAATATAACCATGGTTTACCAAGTATGGCATCATAACATTGAAGTCTCAAGACTTGTGCAGAGATACCAGAGGTGTGATAAGGACCTAATTCCAGTTTATTAATGTCAAGTGCCTTGTTTGTTTTCACCTTTCTCCCATCCACCAATTCAATTGATAATGTAGAAACTGTTTTTAGGGTTAGTTTATTTTGAACAGCAAAATTCTCATTAACAAAGTTTCGAGACGCTCCACTGTCAAGAAGAATTCAAGCATTGTGCCCATTAATTTTGTTAT